GAGCAATTTTGTTGGGGTTGACAAGATGGGACACAAGGTAATTCTTTCAAAATCAACATTCATTTTCTTTTCACTTTGGTTGATGCATATTTGTATGTTCAATAAGATGAAATATTGTAAACCCTTGTTGAAGAAGCTGTGGCAGAAAACTGGCCAGCACGAACAGTTTCTGACACTGTCTGGAAATGGCACAACATCCAAGTCTGTGTAAGAACTGTCAGAAATGGATCAAACAATGGGACTTGAAACAACAAGCACTGCAAACATTATTCGGCTTCCCCAAGTGGGCAGGAAAAAATGATTGGGAGTATGATTTGTCATAAAATGATCTATCACTCCACACCTAAGCCAGAACACACACACTACATATGTGCAACAGGCTCAGTGAATAGGTGGTTATCATGTACATACAGTTCTGCTCAGTTATCTGCTCATCAGCGTAAGTTATTCATATGTAATACATGCTGTAACTTTTTTCAGATTGACAAAAGTATTCAAAAGATTGACTACATACACCCACCCAGTGTTTTGGTGTGATCTCATCAACTCAACTGCATGTAACACCCTTTCTGTTACTATGAAACAGCTTCAGTAATATTGCCTGAGCAGCTACAGAATTCTATGTAGTGAATTTTTGCAACAATTTTTTCAAGGTCAAAAAAGTTTCATGTGGTATAACATGTGATTTATTCATTCTGATGGGCAAAAAACTGAGCAGACCTGTATGTACATGATAGATAACTATCTATTTAGCTTGCTGCACATATGTAGTGTGGGTGTTATGTCTCAGGTGTGCAGTATTGGATCCTTTTATGACAAACTGTACTATTAATCATTTTCCTCTTCCAACTTGGGGAAGTTGAATGATGTTCACAGTGAAGTAACTTATGAGGTGGATGTTGAAAAGAATGTGGTATCAGATAATCACCAACAGTCTCTTAACCAAAAGCAAGCTGTCATTGCCCTCAAAAATTAGGGTATACAAATATCATTCTGACAATTTCCAGACAAATTTTTCCGGAACAACAGAAGCTTCCTGGTGTTCTGGAAAATATGCAGTGTTGGTCATTGAAAGCTTCATAACACCATAAGGTCAGAACACACCAAAAAAACCTCTGGCATTCTGGGAGAACCTTTCTGGAAATTTCCAGATTGCCTACTGGCTGTTCTGCAGAGTATTGCTACAAGAACCTGGTTGAAGAATTTGGTGGTAATGATTACCCCATCCACTGTGAAAATCATTCAACTCCCCCAAGTGGGAAGGGGGGAATGATTAGAAGTATACTTTCTCATAAAAGGATTTATCTCTGCACACCTGAGCCATAACACCCACACTACATATGTGCAGCAGAGTGAGTGAATAGATGGCTATTATGTACATACAGGGCGTCTCATTTATCTGCTCATCTGGATACATTGATCATATGTAATACATGCTGTAAATTTTTCCAGCTTGGAAAAAGCATTCCAAAAATATACTACATACACTGACTCAAAGTTTTGGTGTAATTCCATCAACAAATGGCTTTGAGAATTGCCTGAGTAGCTATGCATTTTTGGGACAATGTTTTCAAACTACAAAAATGTTTATAATGTGTCACATGCTATTTGTTTATTCAGGTGAGCAGACAACTTAGCAGACCTGTATGTACAAGCTAGCGGAATATTGACCTAGCCTGCTGCACATGTGTAGTCTTAACCCCATACTCACAATTGTGCTTGTTGATGTTACCCGAGTTACTACATCTTCCTACAGACTCTTACACATGGACAAGAGGTATGAGTTGATTTGTAAACAGAATAGCTGCAGTTGAACCAGGTTTAAATTCACTCAATCCTCTTCTTAGAACTGTTGGTCCGCTGCACACAGCAGTTTTATGATGTTTAAATCTCACCAAACACCTAGACCTCTCTAGTTATTCTGAATAATATTGGCTGCAATCATCAAGCTTTGGTCCATGATAGAATCATAAACCAATTTGATGATGCCATCTTTCTTAGGATGATACATTCTATGAGTAAACCCAAAAGGCCTAGACATTGATCCAGATCAACCATAGCTCAACTCAGTATTACACTTAAAACCAAGGTCATAACTAAGCACTCTGAAGATGTATTGTGTCAAATCAACAAACTCAAATTCTCTCCTTTGCCAACCTCTAAGACAAACAGAGCTCACATAAGACATAAGTTCAATATCAGGATGACTTTGAATGACCCAACCAAATTTTCAGATTTTGATGCAGTCAAAACCAATCTTACATCAAAAATAAATTGCATTCAAACTTGGGACCTGCAATGCAACATTGAGCTATGTAAAGAGATTTCTGTGAGGTTGTGTATACAAGTCAAAAAGTATCACAGGAGTGGATTTGTTAGATTCATGTTTGTACTTGGTTGCAAAAGATCTAGAGAGAATCAAGAATGAATTGTATATGATCCCACCAATTTCTTCCAAAGAAAACTCATGTGTAAGTACACTAAAAAAGAAATCTCAAGAATCCAGACAAAACTTCTGGTTCTTTTCTTCATACACTGAGATTATGATCAACAAAAGGTATGGTTTGGTATGATGTTCCATAACTTTAGAGAGTGTTTGAACAGTTACAAAAAATCAATGTCTACAATATTGGTTTAATCTCTTACTGATGTAATGAAAACAGATAAGGTCTTCAGGTGAAAATCCAAGGGCAGTATTTCTGAAGAATAGGTTTGGGTACTTCTGCTTCAAGGCAATTTGTGCTAAACTCATCATGAAAGACTTTGCCTAGGATCAGGACATAGATCCCTTGATTGTAAATGTGGATCAAAGGACTATAGTAGGCTAGTTTTCAAGTACATAAGCAAATGACTCAAAAGCATTAAAAAAATCTACTACAGCCTACAGGGTGACCTAAAAAGTATTCAAAGGCAGATCAAGAGGGAGAGGTAGGCATGAACAAGAGAAAGTTAGATGTGATTGATGAGATGAATATAATCAAAAAGAAAAAGATTTCAAATATTGATCAGAATACTTTTTCAAGAGAAATATTTTTCAATTTCTTTGATGAATAAAATATAAAAGGTCAATTGAACTGGAGTTCAAGTACTGATCATCCACAATTATATATGTACAGTCAATTTCATAAAGGTTGAAATCGAGGCGTTTTCAAAATCATGAGGTGGTCCGTGCGCAACCTGTGACAGGTATCAAAATTACCTGCAAGATCGAATAACATACAGTGTCGAAACCTTTAACAACCCCAGGTTCCCTATTGTCTGGTGGCGCAGCGGTTCGAAGCCATGATTGCTTTGTGCAGATTTGTTGGTGATTCCCGTGTTCGACTCGCTGTGATACTTTTTTTGGCACTGTTTTTGTCCAGAAGCGACAATGGCAGCAGATGCAAGCAAACCAAACCAGCGCAGTTTCTCCGTTCTTTTAGTTGATCACAATGAGCAAATCAAACAGGAAAACCATGTTAAAAAGTGTGATGACTTATAAAAACAACTGGGGCTCAAACCCAAAAATGTGGATCCATGCAGTATGATTGAGCCCATGTACGAGGCATTCATCCAGCTGCACCAAAGCTCTCTATGAATCCACCTTGGCTATGCTGTACAGATCATCATTTCTACATGCATATTCGATACCTGTCACAGGTGGCGCACGGCCCACCTCTCGATTTTGAAAACGCCTTGATTTCAACCTTTATGAAATTGACTGTATGTATGATCATCACAAAGCTGAACAGAATCCTCATTAGCTGTGTCCAAAGCTCACCCACATTCAAGAAACCCCAGTTGACCCAGTTGCTTTTTAGGCCATAACTTTGTGTATGAAGTTGACATTTGTTGAAAGCTCAGAGCCAAAAAAGGCAACTGGCTCAAGCAGGTTTTTTGTAACCAGGCCAACTTTGTGCACAGCTATTGTAGAAGTGTCAATGTGGGATTTACATATTTTGGAGATGGTAAAGAGCACAGCAGTGTAATTCAAGCATGACACAGCATGGCTTACACATCCTTTGTCATGGCTATATAACATTTGACATGAGCACCTGTAACCTATTCTCATATCTAAGAACTTACTCCCAGTGCCCCATCAAAATCTTCCATGGTTGCTTATGTCAAAACATTAGTAACTCCAAATCACACCGCGGGAATCGACTTGTTTGAAACCCGATTGAGCGGAATTTTGGTGTCCAGGTTTGAAATTTCCTTGAATTGTGAATCTTGTTCACAAATTGTTAGCATTATGTTTGCCGATTTGCCTTGAGTACCCTACAATACATACACATACACATCACTTTCAAAACCTGTGATTCAAACTGTTTGACTACATATCTCAACGCTTATCATGTTCCCGCTGAACTGCTTTTTTTTGGTTGATCAAGGCTTGACAAATGAGGATGAAGGTGAGGAATGGTGAAAGGGGATGTTGCTGTATGATGTGACTGTACATACACGGGGCCAGCCGAGTACAGAGTTCAGCCCGAGGGGAATTGGCAAACATAATGCAAACAAGTTGTGAACAAGATTCATGATTTGAGTAAATTTCAAACCCGGACACTGAAATTAAGCTCAATCGGGTTTCAAACAAGTTGATCCCCGTGGTGTCAGTAGCTCCACACCTTTGACCCCATCATCATGATTCCATAAAAGCCAGTGAAAAATCTAAATTTGAAAATATATGTAAAATTGTCTTTGGTTAGGTTAAAAAATCATTTTCAGGATAAGAATGTGAAGAAGTCTTTTGGGTTTGTATGTCTTCAATTTCTCTCTCAAAAAAAAACTAGATTTGTGGCCAGTCATGGATTTTGGGCCAAAACTTTTGGTTACCAGAGTCTTCATGACATGATCTCATCTTGATTCTTGATCCACTTTAAAGTTTCTTTGTTTTGATTTTCCATTTTTCCCAAGCTAAACAAACACAGATCCTAATTGATCAATCAATCACCCCAAATTCAATAACCTTCAAAACCATGCTTTCAACCAATTTTAAAGTGATTCAAGTGCAAAATACTGTATGTATGGACCTTATTTTCTCTGTTTTGCAAAAAAGAACTCATCCAAACCTGACTTTAGTTTTAATTTATTTCCATCATCTTTCTAAAGATCTCCTGCTTATCCCCCTACCTATCCATATCAATTTCTTAAAAAATTGTAACTTATAATCTTCCTATATAAGGTATATATATATATGTATGTATTTACATCAAACATTCAAATCCAACTTAAACCTCAACAAACATAAAAAAACAGATATTAATTTTTTCAAAAATGATCAAAAAAGATTGAAATCCTAAAGTAATAATAATAATAATAAAAATCATAACAATAAGATAATGATGAGCAATAATAATAATGAGCAATATATAAACTTTTGAATCAAAAAAAAAAAGAAAGAAAATGATGTTTTGGAACCAAAGCAAAAAAATCCAAAACAATTTCAACCCATCATTTCCCCTTCATTCTTCTTGGACGTTTCCTACAAGGAGAAGAAGAAAATCCAAATCCATCCAACGAATCTTTAACTGCTTCAATTGTTTGATCATCTTCATCATCATCATCATCATCATCATCATCAACCTCATCATCATCATCTTCTCCTCCATCATCTTCTTCATCTTCTTGATCTTCTTCATCTTCATCATCATCAGATGAAATCTCAATCACTTTTGATTTATAACTCATTTCAAGTTTAGGTTTAGGTTTAGGAATTTGATGAAGTAGGAAATGATTGGGTTTCAATTTAGGTTTAGGAATTTGATGAAGTTGGAATCCGTTTGGTTTCGATCTAGCTTCTGATCTTCTTCTAGAAGGTGTAGGTGGTAAACCAAGTGGATCTTCTGAACTTTCACGTGACGATCGGTTCAATGGGATCGGTTTGGGATCAATCCATGTGGTACTACGTCGATGAGGTCTAGGTAATGATTTAACAGGTCGACTTGTAGATGGTTTTGAAGGATTCGATTGACTTGGATTGACAGCTTTCAGTCTCGATGGTATAGGCTTCGGTCGATGAGAGTCTTTGGGATTGGTTCGAAGATTGAGCTCATGCTTCAGACGTGATGGACCAGGCCGAGGTTGTCTAGGACAGATGATAGTACTGGGAGTAGGTAAGCAATTAGACTCAAAGACCGGTCTAGGACGTTTATTGGATGAAACCTTTGAGGCTGAGATGGGTGAAAGAGAATGTTGAAGCGAGTTTGGATGTGGGTTTGAATAACGAGGAGTGATAGAAGATGAGCAAAGAGAATGTCGTGAAGAGCTTCCAGATGGATCGGTGCGATAGGTTGATGAAGGCTTTGAATCTTTCCATGGTTCGGATGATGATTCGGTGACGATATCGGAAGCAGTGTAGGTGGACTACAAATCGATGAACGCGAAGACTAGAAAGATTCATACAAAAAGAAAGACGCGAAAGATAAATCAGTTGAGGGAATGGGATCCATTCAAATCAAGAAGACGATCTGATGAATCACTCACGATCTTCGTATAAAGTTGTGATGAAGCTTCACTCTCTTGACTAGTTTCTCTAGGTTTGTTTTGGTTACGAAGTTGTCGAAGATCTATAGATTTTTCTTGAACGCGTTGTTTTAGTCTTTCAAAGAGTGCATTGGTAGCCGTACCATGAATATGTTGAAAAGATTGTAAAGTCGATAGTTTGGAAGGAGAAGATAATTTAGGAAGTTCTGATCGTAGTGAGATCTTTGAAAGGGTGAGTGGAGATGAAGCTAAGCTACGGGTCGGAAGCCGATGATTAGAAGATGTAGGTTGGGTTAGAAAGATGATAGAATCAGAAGAAGATGAAACAGATCCGATCTCATCATCAATCCAATCAGCTTCTTCATCACTACAAGTCGTATCAGATGGAATGATCAAATCGGTTAAAGGTTGATTAGATTGGATTCTTGAAGTGGATTTCTTTGATGATGGCTTTGTCCAAGTTTGAGTTTGATAACGTAAATGATCTTGACGAGTTCCAAGTGTTTTGATAATCTTTCCTCGATCTTCAATGACTTCTAGTTTCACTAGATCTACTACATCATCAGCTTCTTCATCACCATCACCTTCATACTTTGAATAAATCGTTTGTAGATTAGATTGAAAGGTTTTGATGGATTGAGTTCGAAGTGAATCGATATCATCTAAATCTAAATCTTTTAATGAATCTTCTTCTTCTTCTTCTGGTTCTACTTGATGGTCTTCTCGTTCATTTTGATGAATTGATTGATGAGTTTGATGATGAATGAGTTTTGATGATTTACTTGACATTTCTTTCTTAAATCGATTGCAACTTCCAAATCAAAAATCAAAACCAAAACTAATTAAATCAAACTTAAGACCTAATCACACTCAAACTTCACACATCTACTTAACTCAAATTACACAGACCTTTGACGCGTCCATTAAACTCACAAGAAAACCACTTCTCCTGCTCAGCCTCCACTCTGGCTCATAAATCCTCATCAAATCATTTAACAAAACGTCCAGCATTGTATTTCTATTCCAATTAAATCCAACACTATTAACTTTCTACACACCACAGAAAACACTAACAATGTCCAAGACCCTAGTCTCTAAACTATAAAAGAAATCCAAACCACATACAAAAAACAAAATCAAAAGAAAAAGAAAAGGAATTCTTTAAATACATTTTGGAGGATGATAAACTAAATCAACTTGATTACAATCCAACGAATCATCTGAACCTAAAGTTGAACTCAAACCATTCGATGACTTTGTACTTTTATTCACTCCATCTCTTTTTGAATGAACTTCTTCTTGATGGTTTGTAGGTTGACAACTTTCAGCCACACGTTTTATATATTCCGCTTGGAGTTTATGAGTCAAAGTTTGTGGATGATAAAAAATCCAATACTATTCTCAAAACACCAAAAAAAGACTATTAGATTTCTTGATCCATCTTTGGTAGGATTTAGGAAGAATAGACTTACTAATCTGTACTCTGGGTCAGTACATGCTTCTGCCATATTTAAGTTTCTAGGTAAACAAGAATCTGTAGAATGATACCTACATAACCCCCCCCCCCGAAAAAAAAAGAAACCAAAAGAGTATTGAGATGATGATGGAATTAGTATGGGTTTAAGATGAATAGAATTGAAGAAAGTTGCTTACCCAAACCTTCTTGGAGAAGTTTTAATTTCACGATATAATTTAGAAAGATGAATGGTAATGAATTGGAAATCAGAATCTTGTTTCTTAAAATCTTTTAATCCATTCCAAATGAGATTATTAAATTCTTTAAGTTTATTATTATCAAAGCCTGGTGCTATTTTATACAAAAAATATTCAAGGATTTTGATCATTAGCTTTTTTTAAAAAACATTTAAACTGAAATGATCAAGATTTATTGAGATTTGTTGTTTTTTTTAAAAAGAAAGAAAGAAAGATAAGAACTTGACTAACTTAAGATTAAGAAATTCGTAAAACCTGAATCGATTAATCTTTTAGTTTGGTTTAAAAACTTTTGAGATGATGGGATTAATGAAGATAATTGATTAGATTCAATATTAGAAGCAATAAAATCATTATTACCAAAGAATAATGTAACCATCGATCTATGTACATAAGTATGAAAGGAATAAGATGAACATTCAACTTCTGGTATCCGTGGTTTCATACCATCAAAAGTTAAAATAAATATTAGGCGTTACTTACGATGAAGGATCAAATTGATTTTTTTGACACAAGAATCTATCGATTTCCATAGCCATATCAAATGATTTATCCTATCCGAAAAAAAGAAAAAGAGCAAAAAAAAAGAATCAAATTAGATCTTTCAACATTTAAATTTGATCCTTGAGATTTGTATCTTACAGCAGAATGCCAAAGTGTCTTATCAACCGTAGCACCAGAAACAGCATAATTTTTAACATTTGAATGATTTTGTAAAATCTCAATTAACCATTCTGACCACATCTTTCCATTAGTTGGTCTACCTGAAGAAAAAACAAAAAAAACAGTTGATGATAGGACGAATGATTAGATTAGATTAGATTTTATTTATTTTGAGATTAGGATATGATGTTTCGAAGCACTTACCGCCGTAGAATGGACATGAAGTTTTGGGTTTGAGAGCTGGTAAGGGAGTGCCTCCAAGATCGTTTCCTAGATCAGTCCAACTATCACCAAATGTATAAAAAGTCTAATCCGAAAGAAAATAAAATAAAGAAAGAAATGAGTATATGTTAATGAATCTTTTAGAAAATTGTCAACAAGTCATTTTAAATCGAAATCGAAAAATCGAAGTAAATGATTCTGATGACTTACTTTGATCTGATCCAATTGGATACCAGAATTATAATCAACAAATGATTCATCTTGAAACCCACCACAAGAAGGTACAAAATCACCTAAACTAATCGGGCTTTCATTCTTGATTGCTTTTTCTTGTACTTCTACTCCATCTTGACGAGTTTCTAAACGTTTATTAATTTTAATACTTTGAACATTCAAGAAAATCAAACTAAAGAAAAATAAAATATAAAACATTTTTTCCAAAGTAAATGAAAGTGATGAATCAAAAATGAGGATCCCGATCAAAGGGGTTTGACAGAATAGTTGACGATAGAAAAGAAACCGATATGAAGTGAGATCAAAAAGAAGATATAAGTTGTACATACACTAAAACTTTTTCAAATCACTTTAAACATCCCAACTTAGGGTTAAATCTTAAAGCCTTCAAGTTGCCTTGTAGACGCCAGGAGAAAGATGGAAGGAAAGATGATTCGGGTTGTCTAGTGAATTTTGATCTCTCGCAAACTTAACTAAGTCCCACCCGGACCTAACCACCATCTCCCGGGAGGGACTTACACCCAAAGTCGAAAAGTTGGCGTGAGTTCCGTCGGGGTATTTCCTCAAAATCTTATATCTCACATGCTCGCCAATCACAGTAATCAACCCTCATTACGAGTCTAATGAACTTCGAGCGCATCGTCCTGAGCATCAATTTGCCGCTCTCGGCGTTTCCTTATTCATCCCCTGCATCCAGATAATATGATTTATCATTTTGGGGCCACAGTCGGGGCCAAACGCGACTGCGGCGTCCGAAAGTGGAACTTTATCGCCAAAACACCTAAACATCATACAAAACGGTTGGAAGGTTTCAGCCGAACTGCAGTTTCCTGCCATCCACCTGCGGAAACGCGAGATCGACAAGTCTCGAGCATTAGGCACCCCCGTTGCACCACTCACTGATCGCCTCCAGAAACACCATGCTACTCAGGAGCCAATCTGCTACCAGCGACCAACTTTTCAATAAGCCTCCGGCGTCATCTCCAGCTAACCCGTCAGTCAAAGCACGCACGAAGCGGAAGCCAGATTTCCTGGACGGTAACGAAACGACTCTTAGAAAATCTGTTGGCGACTTGTGTCAGGGATTTTATGGATACCCTGCTCGCCCACAGCAGGAAGACACCGTGCTTCCCCTTCTCAAAGGGATCACATCATTTCTATTAGCGGGCACCGGATTTGGCAAAAGCCGTGTCCCAGAACTGTTTTATCTCGCACATGAACCCACATCTAAACCGATCATCCTCAGTATCAACCCTCTCAAGGGCCTCGGGAATGATCAGGTATCGTCGATATTTGATATCGCCGAACCATAATAATGCTACCCGGCTGACATCAGCATTTCAATGCGGCAGGTCATCGAGAAGAAACGTGTCGGCCTCAACGCCGTGAATTTAACCGGCTCCAATTGCACTACAGAGGCATGTAATGCCATCATGAACGGGGATTACAATTTTGTTTATGTGGTAAGTGGCCCGTCCATTACGCCTAACCGACGAAGGGCCTGCTGCTGACCGGAAAGTGTGATGATTCTCGATAATTGCCTCCAGAGTCCCGAGGTGGCATTAACCAACCCGGTATTTGACCGGATGTGGCGAGATCGAAGGTTTCAGGACCGCCTAATCCTCAGCGTCGTCGACGAGGCCCATATGGTCTATAAGTGGGGTCTTGTCGAATCCGGCGAAGCTAAACGTCTCGCCAGCCAGGTTCGTGTATCGGACGGGGGGGTCTTTCGTCCTTCGTATGGAGACCTCGCGCGCAGGTTCCTGTCCACGAGTAGGGTGCCCCTACTTTTGATGTCCGCGACATGCACCCCACAGGCAATTCACCAGATCCTCGTCAATTTGAAACTCGACCCGCGCGACGTCCGATTTGTGCGAGCCAAACTAACGCGACCAGAATTGCGATTGATACAAAGGTCGTTCAAAAGACCGCTGAAAGCATCTTTACGCGGTATAGTGCCTCATCACACTGTGGTGCCGACAGGCGCCATTCCTCCGACCCTGTTGTATTCTGGCACTCAGAACGCTACTTTAGATTATTTGCAAATAATCAATGCATCTCGAGGTCACCCTAAAGAGGCAGGAAATGGTCACTCCGACTTCGCTCGTCGGTACCATGCGACGACTGGCCCCAACGCCAAACTTGATGCAGTCAATGCTTTTGTGGCTGGTTCTCTCGCCATCTTGTGCTGCACTTTGGCGCTAGGGATGGGCCAGAACTGGCATCGGGTTCGTCGAGTCATTATTGTCGGTCGGCAGGACCCGGTGAATTTCATCCAAATGTCAGGCCGTTGCGGCCGTGACGGACGACGAGGATTAGGCCTCCTTTTGGTGGAACATACACGCACCAATGGCAAGAACGTACTCAGTGATTTCCGGACGCCCACAATTCAGTCAGATGACGATCGCATGGACGCCCTGGCGATCACATCGGTGTGTCTGCGAGTGGCACTCGCGGTTGATCTTAGGTGAGCACACATCATGATATATATTGGTTTAATATATCACTGAGGGAGTGGTTTAGTCACGGCTATATTCCCCTATCCGCAAGTGCCACGTCCGTCATAGAGGAGACAGAACGTCAGCGAATCGCAGGAATGCCGCCCTGCGACTGTTCGAACTGTCTGCCCGAGGAGGCCGAAGCCTTATGGCTTGCTCAGCCTGGACTCACCAATGATAATCTGGATATGGCCCTCCGAATGAGCGCAAGCGAACTGGCAGAGGTCATGTCTGCTCTCCCGGAGCCACCGCCGCCGCCGTCTTTCGATTCTCGCACAGTGGCCTTGCCCTGCACGAAGGACGATCCCATTTTGAATTCCATCAAGCTGGAACAGCTAGTTACGCGACTCGACCGAACGTTCTCAACGTTTTTCTATTCACTTTTCCCCAAAGAACCTGATTTGGGGCCCGAATGTTATTTCGACCGCGACATGGCCTGGGATGTAGCCAAAAACATCGATCTCTTACACCAGGCATCGGATTTTGGGGCTATCCTGGCCAGTGAGACCATCAAAGGACAATTTGATGTGCTCTTTGTGGCTTATTGTCAATGGAAAAACGAGTGTGCCACGGCCGCGGTCATCAGTGAGGCGTCGGAGCGACGGAAGTCCATTGCCAAAGCGTCTGGACTTCCGAAGACACCTCAATCGTGTGAGGGCGCACGATTAACAAAGGAAAGGGCAGAGGCCATCCGCACCTCTTTGAAACACGCGCGCGAACAAGCGAAAATCGACAATCAAGTGGCAAAAGCAAATGAGCGTGCTGCCCGCGAAAAGGCGCGGAATGACACCGCTTTAGCAAAAGCGGCAGCGAAAGCGGCACGTGGTCAAGTGTCGAACCGCACGAAACGGCCGGCCGAAGGGCCTTTGGAGCCTGGTCAGTCACGTAGCCGTGCGCTCGAATCGGTGAGCTTGCATGTCCAAAGAATATAATGCTCCACCTCATGATCAATGGGGTAGACTGATGTATTGACATTGGACAGTCTTCGCAACTTGATATACAGGACATCAATCCTCATCTGGCCCCTCCTCACCTACCCAGGTTGATAACACATCGGACGCTCCCCAACGGAATCGAGATGATCGACCCGCGGCTTTGTCCGAGCGGATCAACTTGATCATATTACGTACTCCCACCTTGAAGGCGTTGACCACCGGAGGCGGGGGCCGGGTCCGGTCGCTCTCGGCTAAATGTTCGGCAGCGTAGGCGAGGAACAGGCTGAGGGACGCTGGGGAAATACGGTTGAGGTTACGTTGATACATAATCTTTTGTCCCGCCTCCGACTTTATGAGCTGCATCAATGTGCGTAACTAAGTGGTGGTTGTATTAGCAAGGGCGAATACAACATGAAGTCGGGAGAAATGATGGTGGAGGGGAAACATGCAATAGAATTAAACCTTGACCTACCAAAAGTATCTGATTTGACAGTCGGTTTGTGAGTCGTTCGAGGTCCGTCCCACGCCCCTATGTATGCAGATTCTTGCCAGTTAGTCAGAGGCGTACCAGTTTTGGGAAAGCACGGTACTCACCGTGTTGTTATAATGGTCTTTCAGCCAACCGATGTTAATCTCAAGGTACTCATCGAGAGCTAACCAATGGTTTTCTCGTTCATTCGATGGTATCAGAAGTGAATGTTTGATGGCATTTGCAAGGCTCTTTGGCAGATCTTGTTCAAGAAGTAAGACAATCCGTGGGATATGGCGAGCATAATGGGATAGGCCCGGCAAACCTTGCGCCATTACGGCCCACCTTTTCCAAACAGCCATCAGCCTTCCAATATCACCTGCCCTGCTGGAATCGTGTGCCTCAACTACAGTGGCAAAATCGCGAAGGCGCAACCGCAAGTTGTAAGCGGTGTGATCTTCGCTCTGCCTGGCTTCTTCAATTGACGACTCTGTGAAATAACGTGTCCACACCGTGTCTAACACCAGATCGCAATCTTCGGCTTTGGTCAAGTCGACATCTTTGAGGGAATTGATGACCTCGCTGCATTGGCAACGGAATGAGTCAGTGTTTTTGTATATCCGTGGCATAGGAACTTGAGGCGATCATACCTAAGAATAAATGTCAAGTTCGCTTTATGTACAATCTGACACGATCTCATGATTGTGTTGAAATCTTGTGAAGCAGGTGCTTTCTTATACTCCAAACCCAACGCAAAAGCGCTTCGCCAGACGCCGGTATCATGTTCGTTGGCTGAATTACCCCAGTGGAGGACCCATAGAGCTTTGGCCATGTTCCATGTGGTGTGCGCCCCACCAAAAATCGACAATATCCACTCAATTCCTTCAACCTCGTCGATTGGCGGGAAACGCTTGACCCTCAGGCTCTCCACCAGTTGATTGGAACCTACGTCGCCGGCGGCAATCAACAGATGCTCGGCCAGCTTGTCAATGGGCCATCCCATTTGCCCCGCGATCAAATCCAACACTCGCGTGACCCCTTCCGCCGAGGAGTCCGGCGCGTCCATCATCTTTAAGAAGTGGATGATGGGCTTGTGCATCGTAATGGGATCCAGCGGTGGTGGCCTAATTGGAACTGTCGGTAAGTCATGTGGATCGAGTCCTCCGGGAAGGTGAGCGGTGTAATCACAAAGGGCCTTTGCCAATTGCGCCTTGATAACTAATGCCCAATGTCTTGTGGCCTCAGGTTGAGGGCTGAATAGCATCATGTTTACCGGTTGGCGATCGGCTGCATCCATTGCTTTCAGGAACGCCGCGAGCCCGAGGACATCTTTGCCACATCCAGCAAGAAGACAAGAGCAAATGACCATAAAAAACCCCCATGTCCCATGGAACAGGCGAGCCGAGGTTTCTACGCGGGTGTTATGGATCTTCAACTGGATATCTATGTTTTCATAACAGAGCAACGGCAGTAGCTTGTGATTCGCCTTGAAAACGTCCATCAATTTTTTCTCTTGTAAGAGACGAAGGTGTTCAACCGATTGTAACACACTAGCGCGTGACGTGGTCAGCCCCAACGAATGCAGCCATTCGTGAACCCTGCATGAAACCCCGCCAGCCAAGGCCATTAGGCCATTCGCCAACGATATCCCGTTTGCGCGGCGGTTGCAGGTGACAGCAACCATCTGACATACCATCGTCGGGACCTGCACAGGTACCTCCAAAACGTCAGTCATGACCGGCCATCCGTTAAAATGCATTTGACATCTGACCTTAGCAAGTTTATGTGCTGCATAGTCCGCCGGAGTGCTCTTCACGTACACCAGGCTGTCCATGGCCAACAAGGTAGCCTCATCAACAACGTCTTCGCACCGTAACGGTGGGTTCATAGTTGGCGGAACCTCTGCCTGCAACAAACCGGCTGGTTCGTCATTTTCCACGCCCATCCTGTTCGAGATTCCAGCTGAAATCTTGCGGTGTATGAGGGCATGCAAAAACTTCATTCCGCTGACGACTTGATTGGTCCGATGTAGGTCGGCACTCTCGCTGAAAAAATCTGGTGTGATTTCGTTCGAGCTCACATAAGCACCATGCGGGTATTGGCCACGAGGTAGTTCTTGAGCATTTACGATTGCGGAGGCCTGCAAACAGAGTGAGCTTAAAAACCGCGTCGCAACGTCCCAAACAGATTCACGAGTCTGATTGCCAAACGGACCTCATCTAATATTAACTCCTCCCATTCAGCCTTGCCTTTTTCGCAGCTCACAGCCAACTTTCCTAGGTTCTTCACGATGGACCGCGTTTGCTTGGACCCCATTCCTGCCTTCATTTGTCGGCGCCGGTATACGAGGTCCGGATGATTGGACGAAAGAAAAGTGACCATAAATTCCTTGGGAGTAAAACTGCCCAGTTTGTTCATGAAATCACATATTGAGATAGTACGAGTGACAGTAACCGGAACGCTTGGGTTGGACATGATGTTCTACACACAGGTGGCACTGCGGGATATCGAATTATTTACGTTTAGTTAACACGTAAGATGTAAAGATGTCAAAGGTGTAGAACAACTTTGGGCTAGGCAATGCCTCGTCGCCGATGTCGCCAACACTATGACTCCCAGTAGCCCACAGTCCCTGACGCAATGGCTCCCCGTTGACCAGGACTTCATCGCGTGCTTCAGCCGTGCTAAAACGTGATCGCGTGCTCGACTCGCACCGCTTCTGGGTATGCTATCCTCGTGATACATGTCGGGCTACCTGTGTTGGCTTCGTGCAAGCCAATAGTGCCCTGATTGAATCGGATTGATCCCAAACAATCAATCCGAATGATCCCAATGGGGCAAGGTGAGGTTTTTTGTCGAAACCCCCACCTGGTCCTCCGCTATGGCCAGCGAAATGGGAACTCGTCCACGAGGGTGAAACATTTCCAGAGACGATTCCGCCGAAGCACGGAATCGTCTTAATATGAATATATAATCTCTTGGTTGTCGCTTGAATTTGAAGAGCATTATACTCCTATTCGATTATTCGGCGATGGATCGGGAACATACCGCCTTTCCTCATTCTGAACAGCACCAGGCTGTGACAAACGTCTTAGCTGCCATCCGTGCAGAAGGGATGACTGTTTCATCTTTCCTATTTTTGCTCGATTCCAGCCAACCGCGCGCGCCAGACTTAGAACCCCCCTCACTCGTCGACAAAACTTTTCACGTATATAATTTAATGCTTATTCAAGAGTTGTCTCTATTCAATTTCCTTACAACGTTTCTTGACCTCGCCAATCAAGAATTCCGGATTCATCGTCGACATTGGCGTGGGGCTGACGGAGACTCCCAAACCCTGATCCGCAAGGTGCTTAACCGGATCAAAAGGCTTGTATATACTGATGGCATGGGACGCCGGTTTTGGAACGAGTATATTGAAGGCCAAGTGGGAACATCCTCGTCATCTTCCATTATCATTGTCTTAGTAAGATACGTCACTGATGCCTTTTTGACATCGTCACACTTTTTTTACATGCACGCTATGGGTCTTCACAGCGCGCCGTTTTGACGTGTCGGGGTACAGGCGAGTCAAGGTCTTCTTCAAACATGTAAGCTTCCAACCTATCTGGCCTGCAACGGAACAAAACTAATTACACTTTCTATCACGTATAATGTAGGTGGATGGATCGCGGTGATGCAGTAGGGAAATAAAGGCTTGTAATGCATTATTGTTAAGACACTACCTAGGCGCGAAGTGCATTTTAATCACCAGTTTTATTGGTTTGTCCATAAAGAATTTGACACGCAGCATTTGAAATTCATCTTGGTGAATTGGCCCCGGGTGTGGCCCCAAATCGAAAGTTGCAAGCAACTTTTGACACAAAGGTCTATATGAGACGCCGAGAGCGGCAAATTGATGCTCAGGACGATGCGCTCGAAGTTCATTAGACTCGTAATGAGGGTTGATTAGTGTGATTGGCGAGCATGTGAGATATAAGATTTTGAGGAAATACCCCGACGGAACTCACGCCAACTTTTCGACTTTGGGTGTAAGTCCCTCCCGGGAGATGGTGGTTAGGTCCGGGTGGGACTTAGTTAAGTTTGGATCTCTCGTGAGTTTCTTAGCGACGAATGGGATTTGGAAGCCTTCATCTGTGTGTGTATACATACATACACCTTCAAATTTAAGTCAAGACTCAAGGCTAAAAAGGTTTGGTTGGGTTCAGAAGAATCTTGCCAAGCATTGGATTTGAGTCTTGAAGAGTTCATAACGCGCTCTTAGATCGGTCCGTTCGAAGCTGTTTACAATTTGATATGCCGGTAACCAAAAATATCATCACGGCATGGAACTTGAAGTCCCGGAAAAAGAAAAGTACAACTTGCCATTGCTGACTCCTGAGTGCGCAGATCGGTTTTTGGGTAAACAAACCCGCACCGAATTTGAGTGCAAAGCCCTTCTTGACCTCCAATTCGTCTTAATCGTACACGATCACCGAACTTGATTACACCTTCATATCTTGAACTGTATATCCTCCTACGCAATGTCTCATCACCAATTCATGACTGCTCCTAGCATTCACTGACCAAACTCCCAGTTATCTTCTTTAAGAAATTAAACCGTTCATCAAATTATGAGGAGCATTACTGATAGATGACGGTCATGGCGTATATTGCAATGGATTGAGTTATCGTTCTAGCATACGTGGTTAAATGTTCATAAACCAGTCAAGTTCACTTTCTTAAAGAGGAAGACTAAAATTGAAAAACGTTAAGTCCAATAGGATCGACGAACTGTAAGCTAAATTGTCTTCTCATGATCAACACTTTAACCTACTTTAACAGGCTTCTTGGATATCACCACATTATAACCGACAGCAGATGAAAGATATCATGAACTTGTAGGTCATCACATGGACTGTGAAAGTGACCCGAGAGGTTTACAGAGTGAATCATATTCCAAGTCACGGACCAGGTAATTTGTAACTTGAATGGTTTGGTTTTGAGTTCATATAGATGGTGGATGGGGTAAGTAAAACGCCTTCATCAGATTCATAAAATCAAATCCAACTATGAAACTGTTTTGAACTGCGCTGCGGTAGATAAAATATCGATTTCTCTTGAAAGTCAGCAGCTCACCCCACTCAAATGAACCAAGCCTATCAAGCCCACCAAATCGAATCACCAAGAAATCAATTTACACTACGGAAAACTAAATCTAAGCTACAGTAACAGGACTGTAAATCACCCACTCCATTCTAACCCTACAAATTTCTCGGACCCCTTCTTTGCAGCAATAAACCATCATCCGACAACTCTTTCCAGGTGTGGTCATCAAGAAATAACATCGAAATGTCATACTCGGAATACAAATCAAATAGTCTTTCATTAGAAATTGATGATCAAAGCTATAGAAAACCAAAAGAACCAGAACTGACCCGACTAATGTTCGAACCTACTAATGATCATCAATCCATCACACCTATGGCCGAAACCGAAGCACATTTATCAAACTCATCAACCATAACAAAAAAAAGAAAACAAAAAACCAAATATCAATGTCCATTTCTTATACTTTCTTTAATCATTACTATAATTTGGTTCACGACTACTTTTTTTGAAAGCTTTTTAGTGTTGATTAGTTCATCTGTTGGGTTATGGAATCCGAAACCTTTTAATCAAACTGGTTTATCAATCTCTTATCTTGATGATCCAAGTCAATGGACAACTCTACCAATCCCGATTCCAAGCCTTCCAATTCACTACGAAACCATTCCATCCAACTCCACTAATTCTTCTTCTTCCCATCAACTAGAAGAAAAAGAAGGATGGACAATTGTTCTACTTCATGGTTTAGGTTCAATAAACGCCTCAGATTCGTACTTCATCAAAGATCATCTCATAAACCTTAATCCAACTTTTTTCA